CCTGATATTCTTGATGACTCCACTTCTGGATTTCTGTGCTTCAACATCGTGCATCATCATCCCTTACAAAGTATCTTTGTTATCTTGTAACCAAATAGATGGATTTTTGAGCTTGCACCTTTTTGGTTTTTGCAGGCCTGTATTGAGTTATCGTAACCAACCTTTCATTGAAGTACCATGAAAGGATGTAAAATTTTAGTATTGTAATAGGGCTTGATGCACCATGAAATAATAAAGGAATACTGCGTGGGCCTCTCTGGACTCACATGAAGATGGACGACTGGAGAACAAACAGATTGAGCAGGAAAATCTCATCTGCACCACGAGTATTGATGGCCACGTATACGCCCATGAGAACAATGTAGACTTGGAAAGCTGAACCACTGGTTGAAGGACGACTCGCAAGCTTCAAGACTTGAAGGAAGGGAGGGATCACACATGACACGTGCTATGTAAGTACATTGGACTCCAGCGTCGAGTCAGTCTTTTAGCTTGCACACAGCTGTCAGTCTTCAGAAGGAGGAGGAACTAAAGCCGATGAGTTGCTTCTCGATGGGCATCACTTCCAGAGAAGACTAGAGCTTGTTGCAAACATTATCACTGTATGGTACCCCGGCCAACTCGTAAACATCATCAATTGGCATCCTATTATCGATCGTCCAGCCACGGTTCTAGAGGGCTCCGAGGTGACATGCCCATGAAGAGATCACAGCGACGAAGTATTTATTTGAAGGAAGGGTGCAGATAGTTCGTAACACAGTTGATATCCCACATCAACAGGACTCCATAATTCATCCAGATTTGTAGTACCAGATGGCTATGATGAAAAGCACCTGTATCATGCGTCAAAAATGATGGCAATGCATAGAACTTGACCCCACCTTTGAATCATTGCTGTTGAATGTTAAGGAAAAATAGAAAGGGACTCCCCCAACTGATGAGAACCATGGGGCGCATCGCGCTTGCCACCTGTCGGAAGATCTGATGCGATGCTGGCATAGTTGGGTTCAAGAATCATTCGAGCTGTCTTGGAGTTCTAAGAAATCATTCGAACTTTGAGTTGTCTTCGGTACCCGTCTAGCTCAGCTCAAGACGCGAGCAGGCGTACAGCTGAAATGGGTGGCTGCGAGTCGGTCGGCTTTTATGATGCCTGTCGTAGTCTTCTGAATGCGAGAAATCGGCGAAGCTAGGTTGACCCAAGGAAGTTCAATTGAGTGGGCAAATGATGGTAACGTTCAGTAAACGAGGTAACGTTCAGTAAACGAGGTCGCCAACACTGTCCCCGTTTTGTCCCGTTAGGCTTTCGAGAAGTTTGGAGGTAATTAGCACTGTCGTAATGCTTGGCTTCACCAGCCATTTGTTCTAGATTTCCATCATCCTTGAATTGCGACTTTGTCAAATAATCATTGTTGTCACACAGCAAGGTTAGGGTGGCGTACCAGTTGTAGATGGCGTGAGACGGAATACCGAGTATACGTGTTTAGATGTCGGATATCGCGTACGAAAGTTCCGTCATATGCGTTGGAATCGCCAGGAGGCGCCTGAAAATGAATGTTAATGGGTAAGGGGTTTAAAAAGAATGTCATGACCCACTCTTGCCTCTTCGCTTCGCCGGCGCCTTGAACAATGGATGATTGCTTGTGATCGTGAGGTATTCTGGGGTAAAGGTTGCTCAGGAATGCGCCAAAGCGATGACCAGAAAATCCAACATGCCCTCATCGTCGCGGTCCAGTGAATACCTTGAGGATGACGCAGAGCGACTTGAAGAGATGGATGCCGGGGATGGTGGAACGTATTTCATGCTCGTTTGTGATGGCAAGTGGAATTGGAGGTATTGGACGGGTGAAGGCTAAGAGAACTCATGTTGGGCTAGGTATTGCGATAGAAAGAGCAATAAGAAAGCGAGAAAACAAGGACTGATTGGAGGAACGGCCGGAATTGACGGCGGGGGGGGGGGATCCGACGAGGCGCCACAGATGTTGTAGAATTCATAGACATGCATTGGATGAGCGATGCGAGCGAATGGGCTGTAGATGGCAAGGATGTCGAAGACTCACACGTTGATGGAGTAAGGCGAGTGGGGGGTAGATCAGCTTGAGATCTAGACAGCGACTGTCTTGGAGCGGGGACGAAGGGTAGCATAGCGTGTCTCATCGTGCCGCTGACATTCGGATGTGGAAGGTGATTGAAAAAGGGGTAGACTACGGGGGGGTGAAGAGCTGTCAGGAAAGAGTGCATCCACGCCAAAGTCTTCGTGCTTGACGCGAGCGCTGTCGTCAAGAGAAATGAGCCATTCTGCAGTGGAGATATCTTGGTTCGAGTCCCAATCCCGAAGGTCAAATGTCTCTGGTTTGATTGACACGTCTACGCTTCCAGTGGCCTGAGAAAAAACCTCTGCAACCTTGGCATCAGCAACGAATTCCTCCCAAGGCTCCAACATTCCCTGCACATCTCTCGGTTCCTCCTTGAAGGTGACATGGTTGGGTGATGAAATGAGGGGGGCAGATGGAGACCTAGGACCTGTGCTTTCCCGCTGAGTCTCGCTGTGTCATCTAAATCCAAGTCCGCATCTGCTCGGTCATCAGAAATGGTGCCCGCACGGGTCATGGTGATATGGAAGTCATCTGCCTCGTCTTCTGAGTTGGGGGGAGGAGAGCCAATGCTGCCGGCGGAAGGAGAGCGTCGGAAAGGGTCATTCGATTGAATCGGTGAAGGAAAGAGAGGGTACGGGCCATCAAATGAGGCTGTCTAACAAGGAATGGAGATGGATCTTCTGGGGTGTGGTGAAAGGGACCAGGTCTCCTCTTGTTCCTTTTCCTGTGTGGGTGGCGATTCATCGTCCAACGAGTCGACAGACATTGAGTCAACATTGAGTCATCTGAATATTCATCGGAAGATTCATCTTGAGAAGAATCCCTTGAAATATCAATGG